TTGATATGCCATTTTGCCAACACAGGTTGTTGGTAATCATGAATCAAGGGTAAGCAAAAATAGCCTCTAAATGTTACTGGACAGAGACAAGGGCCAAACAGTGTTGCATGTTGAGAACCTCCTGCCACTGTCACAAATGCACGGAATGTGGCCGGAGCCAGCTCTGCACACTAGCACCCATGGAGGAGACTGGAGCCAGACTTCGGTGAAAGCATGGAGCACCTGATGCTGGCCTGCGCTGTCCTAGGGGCTGGGGACGCCTTCGGCAATGTTACATGATCCCTGTGCTCACACCACACGTGTATGCTGGTGAGTGCTGGTTTTCAAAATGCAAATGGCTCTTAGTAGAGAAAAAAAGATCCCAGGCCTGGAAGTAGGAAGCTGGGTATGGTCTGACTTCTACATAACTCCTATGTGATCATCCAGTGTCACCTGCTTGGGCCTCTGGGGCTTCTTCTATACAAGCTGAGAGGGGGTTAAATTGATCCTTTAAGTCCTTCTGGCTTAAACTTTTTGATTTTTCTGAAATGTGCTTTGAAATGTTTTGGTAAAGAAGCATAGCCTTCTTTTTTTTTTTTTTTTTGGGTCGGTTATGGGGCTTGAACTCTGGGCCTGGGTGCTGTCCCAGTGCTCTTCAGCTCAAGGTGAGCACTCTACCACTTGAGTCACAGCACCACTTCTGGGATTCAAATGGTTTATTGGAGATAAGAATCTCACGGACTTTCCTGCCAGGGCTGGCTTTGAACCGCAATCCTCAGATCTCAGCCTCCTGAATAGCTAGTATTACAGGCGTGAGTCACCAGCGCCCAGCTTAGCGTAGCCTTCTTGAGAAGTTGTTCTAGGGTTCAGAAGTCCATGAAGGTTTTCAAAGATGTGCTAGTGATTTCACTAAGCCAATTAAGTGCTTTTTGCAGTTCGTGGCAAGTCTGTGTGGGGAGGATAAAGAAGTCTCGTTGCCAAGGAAACCACCTGAGAAGCCAATCACAGGGTACATATGCCCCATGGACGACACTCTGTGTGCTAAATGGTCAGAATTGTGCCCTACCAGTCCAACCCTGCATGAAGTTGCCACATGGTAGACACCCCCGCGCCCCCCACACTTTGTGGCAAGCCTTTCCTTCTGTGATTTCAGCTTTCCTCTCCATAAGGGCCTGGGCCAGAGCAGGGATGCAGGGCCAGATGACTGGTGGATGTGCTTTACCTAGAAATAGAAGACACAGTGCTTTTAGCAGCAAGGTGTAGATCTCTTGGGCTCTTGATGTGTCGGGCTCTGAGACCCCTTTCCACAGTCAGTCTGAGTGCATCAGGACTTCCTAGGGGATGTAGGGGTGGGGATAGGGGACTGATATAAGCTGACATGTTCCACTTACCCTAGCCACAGGGGGAAGGCCCACTCAGAAGACTCCAAGTCCCAAGACCACCTCTGCCCCCTGTGCCTGGAGTAAGGAGAAACTATAACCCAAACTTCTATCTCTTCCAGGTAGGCTACCCTTTCCTCTCATTTTATTCAGTCTTGGGAAGCTAGGAGTTCAAAACTTGGGCAGTTTGTATTTGCATCCTGGGAGTTTGAGTATGATGTAGGTCTACCATCGAAAGACAAAGCACTCACTGAAATATTATGCATCTGCATAATATTGAAATGTTTATACTTATTTGCCTTCTGTTTTTAAGCAATCTTGCTCTGATTAGGCAAAGCTTCAGGCCTACAATACATTATGTCTGTTTACATGTTTGAAGAAAGAATATGGCTACATGAAGGTTTGTGTAGTGCCACACATGCATGAGAGTTGTTTTTTCCCTCCATCATCCTGGGACCTGCCTTCTCTGCTTCTCCATGATCCCATGACTCCTTTCCTATGGTGTCCTTATATACTTTATTGAATGCTTCAGGAACAGAATAGAGAAGTAAAGTTTGTTTATGAACAGAACTTCATTCATTGAATGATGCTGGATCGGATTATCATTAAGTACATATACACTGACTGGCATCCAAATCATTTTGCTCCAGCCTTTTGAGGCCAGTAGTGGGCCCCCTCCCTTCTCCATTCATCCCATGCAGCACTTGGAAGTCAGTTCAATCCGGATCACTTGGGCATTTTTCTCTATTATCCCCCAGGTTCATATTTACTTTTTCTCCTGGGTTTCCTGTAAACCAGATGTTGAATGTCCTGATTGTGCTTTCAAATCTCTTCTATACCGTTTTCTCTCATTTCTTTGCTCCTTCTAATATCTAATTTAATCATTCTATTGTAAATATCAAGAGCTCTGTTATTTTCTCATAGCATTCTGTTCTTTTATGTGTGTACCATGTCTGCAAACTGCTTAGTAATTAAAGATTACTTTCTGATCTCTAAGTTGTTCTACTTATTTTCATCTTTACCTTTTGCATTGGATTTCCTAAGCATCTAATGGCCTTTGGTTATTCACTGGCACTTATGCATGAAGCACATAGTTGATTACCACAGGCAAGTAGAAGAACTTTCTGTAACTAGTATTTAATAGGTAGGCTTTCTACTTGGGGCTGCTGGTAGTGTATGCCAAGCTTGCCAACTAACAGAAATCACCTTAGGGTGTCCATAAGGAAATGAAAGCTCCCACGGCCAGAATGGGGAGATTTATTTTGTAGAGTCATTCTCATCTTTAAAACTTTAAATGAGCCCTGTAGTTATTTGATTTCTTTAGAGTGGAAACTTCAGATTGTAAGCTTGAGAGATGAGCACCAGGTATTTTTGTTGTTGTTGTTGTGGTTGGTCCTGGTGCTTGAACTCAGGGCTTGAGTGCTATCCCTGA